CGTGCGCTCGGCGTGGCGATTGTCCGGGTCGAGATGACGCTCCCGTACGCGGCGGACGCGGAGGACGCGCCGGCCGAGGGCGCCGCGGCGCCGCGGCCGAGCTGCTCGAAGATCCCCATCGTCGAGCTGCTGTTCGACGAGGCGCAGAGGGTGGACCGGGGGAATCTGAGGCTGCTGCTGAGGTACGTGGGCGATCTGAGCGCGCGCTTCCAGGACGAGTTGGATGCGAAGGATCGGGAAGCGGCCGACAGCGCCGCGGAAGGGGAGGCCGAGTCTGGCGGCGTGATGGGGTCTCGGGGACCGAGAGCAACGTCCGGTACCTCACGTCGCTGGAAAGAGCCGGAACCGGTCCCCATGAAGGAGAACTTTCCCGGCTTGGATTGAGGGGGGCGTGGTAGCCGATGTCTTTTCGTTTTTTTTTTTTTTTGTTTTTTTTTCCCAATCCCTTCCTCATCGTTGCTTTCCCGGATTGGCGTCAACTTATCCCCCCCGTGCATGTACTTAAAGAGTCTAATATGAGCGCCAGCCATTGTGGCAGCGGATACATGAGCTACATCCTCGAAATCGACACCCGCTGCTTAGTCTCCGGAGTGGTGAAATCTTCTTAGCCACTTTACATTCTGCGAAGCAAAAGGTTCCAATGTTGCCTGTTCCCACCTCCAGAAAGTTGACAATGAGGTAACATCATCTTCGTAGAATCAGGACTTGGTGGCCGAGTCAAATCGATCTTCGTAAGGCTTCATAAGAACCCCAGGTCGCGGCATCGCTCAATGAACGCTAACCTTAGCTGCCATTGCTATGTATCTTTTTACTCTATGTACTTCTTCAAGTCTCTCAGCCTCTCCTTGGCCCTCTCCAAAACATCATCCTCTTTGCAGACAGCAAAGCGCAACCAATCCTCACCAATATGCGCATTTTCGTCCGTATAAAATTCTGTCGGCGGGATGGCCGCAACCCCAACCTCTTGAATCAAGAACCAACTGAGCTTGAAATCTCGCGGTCTATCCTTGGCCTGAGCGGGGAACGGATAATCCGCAGGGATTTTGACCTTCTTCATGTTGACCAACACGAAGTACCCACCTTCGGGGTCAGAGAATGGAAGACTCAACTCCTTCCAGATTTCATTAAACCGATCCATCTTGCCTTTCATCTCTCTCTTGGCTGTCTCCCAGAAGTTTTCGGCGTCGGCTTGCTCGAAACCCACGGCGGCTGCTTCTTGCAAAGGAGAGACGGAGGAATAGCAGATTCGTGTGTGAGCGGCGGCGACGTAATGGATGAGTTCTGGAGGGCCGATGAGCCAGCCTACGCGCCAGCCTGTGGCGTAGAAGTTCTTGCCGGCCGAGCCAACGGTCAGAGTAAGCTTCTCGATCTCCGGAGACAGGGTAGCCATTCGGGTGAACGGGACGTAGAAGAGACGGTCGTAGACCTCGTCAGACAGAATCAGAATCTGGTTCTTGACGCAGAGCTCGCCGATCTTGAGGAGTTCTTCTTTGGAGAAAACCTTTCCAATCGGATTGTGAGGTGTGTTGATGACAATCATCTTGGTCCGTGGGGTGATGGCGGCTTCGAGCTCAGCAAAGTCAATAGTCCACTCCCCGGCGGAGGTGTTTTGGGTAGCGCCTTTGGGCGGAGGATGGAGCGGGACACAGACGATCTTTCCGCCGGGCATTTCGATATTGCTCAAGTACTGGTCGAAGAATGGCTCGAAGATGATAACCTCATCGCCCTCTTCGATGAAACCCATGAAGGCACTCAGCATGCCTACCCAAATCAGCGTTTCCTCTTGCATTTAATCTTTCCGATCGTCCTACCTTCGTTCGCCCCCGTCGTAATGGTAACCTCCGTCTCAGGATTCAGCTTCCTTCCCCATAGCGGCGAGTATGCATCCGCAAGAGCCTTCTTTAGACGTGGCCGTCCCTTCGTAGGAGAATACTGGTTGCATTCGACCTTGTTGAGAGCCTCCTTCGCAGCGTTTAAGATGAATTGGGGAGGGTTGTATCCGAAGAAGCCCTGGCCCATGTTGACAATGGGCTGGACGGGGGAAGCTGCTGCGGCTTCGTTGACGATTGTCCTGCATCTTCGGTTTAGTTGATGGGATTTCGATAGATCCGGAGGTAGAATTTGCAGAAAATGGGTGTGAGCTATGGGACCCGCTCCCACTCCAGCCCAGCCAGCTACACCGCCCTCCATTGCTCTTCGAGGAGCTGAAGTTTCCCCAGGAAGGCTGAGAGGAGCGAAGAGAAGAAAGAGGGTTCATCCGTACCAGACATCTTGCTTCCTACCGGCAACTCGCTGGGCAGGCTTGATCTTCTCGTGGGTAGGCATGGTCGAGGTGAAGTGTCGGAGACCAAGGCCGCGTGAGGAGAGAGGGCCCTTGAACGCCGTTCGTTGCCAAGTTGTCGACAGTTGGAGCAAAGACGTTGAAGACTTCATGAAGCTTTGGCGGTGCAAGGCAAAATTGACTACCTTATTTTCTGTTCAATACATTCATGTATTACAGGCTGAGATTACCGCACCTATCGAAATGTTCGTTGTGTACATCAACCATACTTAAGTCGTCGTTGTTGACCCCTACCACGCTAGAGCCTCGGTTCGGGACAACGACATTCGGCGAGGTATCGTTTCTCTAATCATGCATTTTCTACCACCTTTACTCACCAAGGTACCTGAACCGCGGAAATAATGCCGACCCCACGACCTCCTTGAGAGCGTATCAGCTAAGCAGTCTACGACTCTATCCAAAAAAAAAAACAAACAACGAACAAAAGAGCCAGCCATGGCCTCCCTCGCCCCCTCGGGCGCAGAGCCAACCCCTCTCCTCATCACAATTAGATTCACAACCTCGATCCCTGACCTTTTGCTCGACATCCCCTCCCCAGACGAAACAACAGTCGTAGCTCTCAAGCAGCGCCTCCGCTCCCATCTCGACGCGCCCACCTCGCAGCACCGCCTCCGGCTCATCCACAGCGGCAAGCTCCTCCAAGACGACGACATCCTCTCGGACGTCCTCAAGATTCCCCTGCCGTCCCCTCCACCCACCGATCCAAAGGGCAAGGGCAAATCAGTCGAGCCGCCCTCGCCGCGCGTGTACATCAACTGCTCGATCGGCGATGCGTTGACCACGTCGGAATTGTCCGCCGAGGCGCTGGCTGCCGCCTCCACGAGCGCGACGCCGCGGAAGAGGGGAAAGAGCGAGACGCGGAATGGAGGAGGGGCTGCGCAAGCGTCAACCACGACCCCTGCGCCGCGAGGCTTCGAGAGACTGCTGTCGGGGGGTTTCTCGCCGGCAGAGGTAAACCAGCTGCGGTTGCAGTTCCGCTCTATTCAGTCGAATATCCACACCCCGGAGACTATGCCCTCGACGGATACATTGCTACGTATGGAGGACGCTTGGATAGACGATAATGCAGGCGGGAATGGTGGAGGAGGGGCCGATACGGGGGGGTTCGATTTCGGGGATGGAGAGGGCGCTTTGGATGACTTGCTGTGGGGCAATATCATGGGGTTCTTATGGCCGTTGGGGTGTATGGGCTGGCTTGTGCGGGAGGACGGGGTTTGGTCAGGTAGGAAGAAAGTCGCTGTTGCTACAGGATTCATGCTCAGCGTGACGTTTGGCATGCTGAGGGTTTTATCGTGAGGCGCTACTGCGGCTTTGGTTTGTATTTCAAGGGCGTTGCTGGTTTTTTCTTTTTGATACCCGTTTCCAGACTTTTATTGGATCCTACAAGCCTGGCCGCCATTTAATTTTTCTCCAAGATACTTCGAAGGTTCTATGCTGGTCTTTCGTCAAGCGAGATTATCCTTTTTTTTAAAGAGCTACGGAAACGTTTCCCGGCTCATCTGTCCCCCCCCCCCCCTTTTT